TGGTCAGCTTGGTTGATAATGATTACATCAGTGGTGATTTATTTGCAGTCTTCAACGATCTTTGAAATGATTAGCAGTACTCGTGGAGTCATCCTCCATGAAGTCCCACTTTCTTCTCTTGAAATTTCTTTTGTTGCTGTAGTAAGATTATTGGTTGTCATCTATAATGTTTAGGCTAGCCTCATTTTATGCAGCAATAATGACAAAAGCAGCCTTATAATACCTGATATTCTTTCGGATTTTGGCCTAACACCTCTTGGTAATGGAAATTCTCTTGGCATTGCAAGCTGATTCATTGTTCATGTCGAGAAGTCTATAGACGAAGCGTATCTCATGACTCCATTAGAATGTTGCTCGGCAAATTTTGAGCGAGTTTGTTACACTCGAAAAAGTTGAAATTTGTCTTTGTGATCTTTTACGTGTCATGACTTCCAAGTCGAGTTTTTTATGTGGAATATGGTCTGGGTATAATAAACCAAATAGTTGTTACTATAAGTGGTTTAATATTCATTCGAATCATCACGCATTTTGATCAAGAAATAACAAAGGGTAAATAGAAGCCACAGGACAATATTATGACTGTAAAGTCTCTGGTTATTCAGCTATTAAACTTATCAAATGACTTAATTTGTAAATTTACGAACTTGTATGTATTTTTGTACACAACGTGTTGATTTCTCTTCAAATTTAACTGGAGGTGTATCTATAGGCAAATAGGGTGGTATGGTCCCGAGGAGATTACACGGATAAAATCCTAGAAAATCATTTACTCAAACCCATAAAATTGATTTTTGTTTATAAACAAAATCTACAACTATCCAACTTACCCAAAAAAAAATTATTGAAAAAAGGATCATACTTGAATTCACTTTAGATTGGTGATGTCATTAGAGCAATTATCTTACTTATAGAGTAATTCTGCTTCAAATGCCCAAACTACTTTTGAAATAATTCAATACCAAATTGCACATATGTTGCTGCGACCCCTATAATTACCGTTTCCTTCCACCGCTTCACTTGCTCAGGCCAATGACTTGCAGATCCGGACTCCATCCACCATATAATAACTAAACCACCACACAAGACTTCCTACTGGGGTAATACATGAAAACGTTTTGTCATCATAATCTAAGAGAATAGTAAAGGTTCTTAAAGAGAAATTTATTGATACTGATTTCTAAACAATAGCATGAAGTGATGAAGTTAAAGCATTTATAGGTAAGCACATGACATTGCCGAAGGACCTTATTACACATTATCCATGATGATTACTGAATTTAAATCTTCAGAATTCGGCTTGGAAGTTGTTAGAATAGGATGGGCAGGAAGTTGTGAATAAGATAGGGAAGGATACAATTATAAGAGTTACATAAACAAAACGTGTCTGCAGAAGATTTTCAGAATTAAAATTCCATATTTTGCAATATGTCGAATTGCAATTCCGTAAGAATTAAATAAATGGCCCCGGACACTGTTGAATTAAAGTGGAGTCCAACACTATAGACTACCTATCCTTCGTAACATTATAATCTACCTAGAATAAAGAGGAAGAATGATTGGTCCAAAAAGTTAATGGTCGAGATTAGACATGCGAAGAATCGATGCTTAAGAAGAAGTGTAAAATACAAAATAAATCACTCTTATTAAGCTAATCTATGAAAAAGCTCCTATGATTTTAAATCATATACTCCAACTCATCGTGGTTTGAACTAATTTGAAACAGCAATAAAATTATCATAACTAATAGAAGCGGAGGAAATAACACAATTTCTTTTATATATATATACATATATATATATATATATATATATATATATATATGTATATATATAAGCAAAAAAAAAACCTTCTAACAAACATCCTAGTTAAGCAAACCTATGAAAAAACCCTTGTGGTTAGTTAATCCAACCTACGGAAAAATCCCTTATGATTACCAATTGCTTCTCCACCTTCTATGGCCACCCTCCCCTCTACCACATCCCCTATCCGTCTCCTTTTTCCTCCTCTCTCTTTCTCTTTCTTTCCTTCCCCTGCACCCCCCTATTCCCTCCCGTTGCAGTCCCCTTTTCGCATCTCTTCACCTGCTTCCCATGACCAAAATTATCATAGGAGGGAGGGCATGGGGTGCGAGAAAGGGGCAATCTGGTCGTGATCCCTTCCCTGCACCCGGTTCCCTCTCTCCCATGGCTAGCTATGGTCGCTGAAACGAGAGAGAGTTCGGAGAAGTAGAAATGGCTGGGAGGAGACGAGAGGGAGCGGGATGCAAGGGAGAGGAGAAGAGGGGGAGGAAGGTGTTGTGATAGAAGGGAGGATGGCGGTGGAAGGTGAACAGTGATGGTGGAGGAAGAGATGAGGGTGGTATTTTATTTTTATTTATTTATCTTGTGTATGCAAATTAGTTGAGCTATATTTGGGCATTTTTATTTATCTATTTTGTGTGTAGAATAAGTTGACTTGTATTTGGGATTATTTATTTATTTATTTTATGTATAGAAATGAGGTAAATTGTGTTTGGGAGTTTTGGATTGTTTTTGAGAATTTTATGAGCTCTAAGGGATTTAATATGTATATTAGCTAAAAATTTGATTTTAAAAGTTATTTCCTAGTTCAAGCACACTCAGACTCATTAATTTAAATGATTTTTATCGATATTTCACATTAGTTCAAACCATGAAGTACCAAATTGTATGATTTGAAATATTCATAAGGAGTTTTTTCTATAGGTTTGCTGAATGGCAGGGGACTTCAAACCATAGAGGGTTTTTTCAAACCACAGGAGACTTTTCTGAAATATAATTCTAAGTGTACAATAGGTATATCTACTGAAAATTTGAGTGTTTCTAGTATAAATGCTTGCAAAAGAGAAGCGTGTATTTCAAACTAATTAATTCAAATGATTTTCACTCCTTTTTTAAATTAGTCTATATCACGGGTACTGAAATATATATTTTGAAACTATATGAGGCTTTTTTTTGTAGATTTACTTAATTGCAGGAGATTTTTCCTGTATATTACCTAAGAAAAACCACAAAAGAAAGGGATAATTTCATAAACCACCCTTGGGCTTTTATAACAATTTCGCTTAGCATTCCTCTTATTTTAAATATTACACTTGTTTTCCTTGTTTTTAGGAAATGAGGATACTAGCCTTAACTTAAAACTCAATTTACATACCAAATAAGAGACCTACCCTTTCTTCCTCCACCATCACCTCTCACCTCCTGCCACCACTACCCTTAGTCCTACCATCTCTCCTTCTCCCTCCTGCCTCCCTTACCATCCATTTTCCTTTGTTCCTCTCTGTTTTCCCCATCCCCCTCCCTTCCCCGTGTTTTTCCTTAAGAGGAAGAGAGGGAGAAGAGAATTGGGAAATAGTAAAAATTGTAAAAATATCCTTAAAAAAAGTTTTAAATTTTTAAAACACCCGAAAATACAATTATACAGTGAACAACACACTGAAAAACACCTATTTCATACCTATCAATAAACTCATTATTTTTCATGTACTTATCTTGTACCTTAAAGCCATTAAAATGAACTTCGCTTCAAATCCCTAGCTACTTAAAAATATGTAGTAACTTTAACTAGTCCTAGACCCTAAATGAACTCAAGCAATGTAATTCATTCGCTAGTAATGTACAAGGGATAAAATAAAGATATAAATAACATATCACTTTGAAAATGCTCATACATTCAAAGTTTGTACCTAACATAATTGAAGAAGAAGGAAACACGACGCAAGTCACATTCTTTTCAAGCTTTTTATGTTTCTTTCTTTCTTTTTTGTGCCTTGTTACAGTGATCCTTGATGTACTTTAAGCCATTTTGCATCATTGCGTAATCATTTTTTTGAATCAATGAAAATGTTAATTCTTGCTTTAAAATAAAAAGTCTATGGAACCACTTTATATATTTATTAATCACATTTTGTTCTTTTTCATTTATATTTTTTAGCTGGTTTTTTTTAAACCTTCCCACCCTTCCCAATACCCTCCACACCCCAATTGCCAAGCGTAAAATTCGAATCCAAGATCTGATAGCAAGAAAAACTCTAATAGCCCCTTTTGGTAGCTAGTAATTTGTGTGATTAGGGAACATCATTCAAAACTTTTCTCACATTTTGCCAAATGAATTTTTTCCTCCTTCACCTTTAAAATGTTAACTTTACGTTCGTACAAATTCAAATTAGCAAAATTTGGTACCAACCTAAGTTTTCGATCACTTGTTAGCCTAAAATGATCACGTGATTCACATGTGATCATTTTTTGTGTACAAAATGTCAAAGTCCACTCTTTTAGTAGTAAAACATGAATATGGATTGGGTCAAATCTTATTTTTTTGGGGAAAAAATGAATATAGTTCAAGTCAATATCATACTTTTTACGGGAAAAATGAATATGAATCAAGTCATTTGTTTAACTACAAATGGAATCTAACTTTTTTGCATTAAAAAATAATTATGTGTGGATCATGTGATAGATTCAAGGTAAAAAATAATCAAAAATTTAAGTTGAGACCAAATTTTATCGATTCAATTTTATATGGGACATAATGTTACTATTTTAAAAATAAAAAAAGAAAAAAAAACATTTGGGAAAATGTGAGACACATTTTGAATGATTTTTACTTGTGGCCATTATGGTGGCAAAAGTATTAGCATTAGTGGTCTTATGGTGTTGGTAGTGGCAAAAGTATTAGCAGTACTGGTTTTGACACTTAAAATGAAAGCGTTAGAGTAGTTTGTTTTCTTCTTCTCTTTTTTTTTAGCAAAAGGGTAGATTGGGTATTTAATTTGATTTTGTTACCCAAATACGGTATCAGCAATATTCAAAATAATAGGGGTGTTAGGTAAAATTGTCATTAAACCTCAAGGGAGGTTCCTGAAATTATCCCTGAAAGAAAACATAAAATCCTCATTTTATTTTTATTTATGTGCATAAGTGTATATTTATGAGTGACTATTTATACTTTGGGCATATCAATTCATACATGAATGCTAACATGTGTGAACTCAATTTTATTAGGCCCTGCCGTGCTTGCATCAACCTTCGTGAAACAAAGCATATTCTTTCTTTCTCTGGATATCTCCGCCCCATTTGAAAAAAGACGCCAGCTAGAGTCCAATTAATACGTCGGACCTACACACACACACACACATTCCGTCCTGCGACTTTAAGCAGTCTAGCCATGAACTCAACCCTTGACATGTTCACATTTGTCATGGAAGACATGGAAATTGAGAGAGAAAGCAAGAGAAGGAAATCAACTTCAAATGATGAGCATCATCACCCAGGACCAGGAAATTGTTTTGAAAATCTACCTCAAGAAGTTGCTCTCGACATAATTTCCAGACTATACATAAAGTCCGTCATCCAATTCAGGTTTGTTTGCCGAAGTTGGAACAAGTTGTCACATGATCTTGATCTTGTTAATTTGCATCTCACGCGTGCATTAGAAAACAAGGACATATCTCTGATCTTTCATTGCGATTATCCTGTAAACAATCAACTTTATTTTGTTGAATTTGCTGATCAGAATCCTGACAAAGATGTATTAAGAAAAATTCAGACTCCTTTTTCCACCTTCATGCCTGAATTTCAAGTCGTTAGCTCTTGCAATGGCCTACTTTGTTTGTCCAACTCTTTGTTTCATGATGGACCATATGTTTATAATCCTTTTACGGGAGATTATAAAGTGCTACCAAAATCCACTGAATTCCAGGACCAAGATGTTGTATTAGGATTTGGATTCCATCCTAATACCAATGAATATCGTGTAATAAGGATAGTCTATTATTGGAATTTGTATGAATTACCTCCACGTATGTCGCGAAGGTTCAGGTATCGGAATTTTCCAGGATCAGAAGTTCAAATATTTTGCCAGGGCAGTGAAAAGTGGAGGGTTATCGGAGACATACCTTATAAACTAGATCAATCATCAGGAGGGGTATTTGTCAATGGAAAGCTTCATTGGGTAAGTCTATGGGGCAAGAATCACTGTCGACGTGACCGAATTCTCGTGTCATTTGATTTATCTAATGAGATTTTTAGTGAAGTTCCATTGCCTGAAAATGATGTCAACCTATTCAGGCACAGATACTCTCTCAGTGTTCTGGGAGGGTGTCTGTCTATTGTTCATCCTTCGTCTACAAATTATTGGGTTCAAGACATTTGGATCATGAAAGAGTATGGCGTGAAAGAGTCCTGGGAGAGAGTTTTCAGCATCGGGGCTTATGATGTGACGAGATATAGGTCTCCAGAAATGCGACGAACATACAGGATCTGGAAGAATGTAATTAATCAACGATATGTTCACGTACTTTGCCTTCTCAGCAATGGTGAGATCTTGTTGCAGTATAGATGGGGAGCTCTAGTTTCCTACAATCCTGAGAATGGCATGTTTAAGGACATAAAGTTCCCAGGAATGCCTAAATTCTTTCATATCACTGTGCACATTGGCAGCCTGAGCCGAGCAAATGCCGCTTCGATGTTAATGAATCTCAATTGAACTGGAAAACTTGAACATATGTACAGAATAAATGACTTTGATGGTTAGATTGCTTAGGTCCTTTGCCTTCTCAGAAATAGTGAGATCTTGTTGATGGTTAGTTTGCTTAGTTAATACATGATATAATTCATACATTTACTGGTGTATTCAGTGTAGTTATTAACGGAGTATCAAGTCTTTGTTTTACATAACAGCTAGCGTATCTATAACGAGGATGATTCGCATGTCATCTTTCCTAGTCGTCTTACTTCTTTTCGCTCCAAGATAATCATGAAAAGTATTGGAAAATTGCTATGATCCAGAAAGATAAGATGCTTACAACATCTATCATTAGAAAAAGCCAAAAAGGTGTGGCAAAAAGAAAAATGGATCTTTAAGTAGAGCAATAATGATGACAATCCCTGTGCATTCGAAAAGGATCGTTTACCAATATAATCCTCTATTTATTGATAATTCGAAACAAGTCCAGCATGTTTTAGCCTTCCAAAAAAAAAATTTGCCATTTGAAATATCCATTTAAAGTCGCTGTTTCAATCAGCAACTTCAAATTTGCTAATCCGTATGGTGACTTTAATGGAGTCACACCTTGTACTATAGGTATCAAAGTAGTTGTAATATTGACTTGTCCAAACTCGCCCACTAATAAGTGAATTTGGGTATGCAGTGAATTTTGAAAGGGTTTAGATTTATGACTCAATTAAACTCAATTAAAAATAATTGGTAGGTAATAGATTGACTCAAAACCATCTATATACATTTAAAAATAATTGGATATTTAATCCCAAGCTTTGGTGGATGTTAAACGGATAAATTTGAATTTCTTATCAATCCAATAATAATAAAATATTGTTATTTCTTATGAAACAACATCCAAAAGAACAAGAAAAAAAGAGCAAGTAAAAATTCAAGTGGGTCATAAATGAGTAATTAGTTATATACCCATACTCATTTATTGAATGAATATAAATGAGTTGACTCATTTGATTCATTTATTAAATCGGTATAGATGAGTTGATTCAATTATATCCATTACTCAATTATAACCTATCCGAACCTGCTTAAGTCATCCATTTTTTACGCCTCCTACCATGTAGTGTGGTTCTTAGCGATAGTTATGAATGCAAATAACAAGGAGGTTAAAAGTTATAAATGCAATGTGGCAAAATTTCAGTAGTTTTGCGAAGAGGAAACCAATTCTCAAGTATGGCCATACTTTAGTTCCACATCTTCATACTGTTTTCTTTTAGAAAATACTTTTATCTTTTTGCATATATTCACTCTATGAAAAACCCACAAAAACCAAGTAAAGACATTTAGAATATAGAGGATGCAAATTTTAGTTGCTTGCTAAATAGAAATAATGGATGAACTCTAACAATAAAATGGAATATGACCTAGTAAAAGATCAATATAGTGAACTATTTTACCAAAAGGTTGTTGGTAAAGGGACATAAAATCACCATTTCAAGAAGCATATCATAGACACACTTGCAATTAGCAAATTTTAAAGTCATTATTGCAAATAGAAAAACTCTAATTTAAAAAGATGCAAAAATTTTAGGGTGCAAAAGTATAGCCCCAATATAGTATAGGAATCTAAGTTGCAATTAATCCTGAAATAAAATAGAGCACCATGCTGTGGATTCCCACACTCCGTAATAGCATCAAACCTTGCATCATCATTCCATGAACAAAGCGTATTCTCTCTCCTTCTCTTGATACTTCAATACCGACAAATAGCAAAAAAAAAAACACCGATTACGGTCCAATTAATGAGTCAAATCAACGTCTCCCCCAAGTTTTTCCTACTAGCATTATAATTAGAGTTAATTACGTTTACCTCCCTTGAGATTTAACCAAACTACGAATCAAACCCTCAAGCTTGGACAAACTACAAAAAGGTCCCTCAGGCTGTTTAATGCATAACAAGTAACTCTTATCGTTATATTGCTAACGTTGACTGATACACAGTGAAGGATGTCAACATGAAATTTTCGTGAAAGTCCAAAATTAACCTCAAAACCCTACTTTGTCTTCTTCTCCCTGCTTTCTCTATACTAGTTTGAGATTTCAACTACTGGCAGCCAATAATTCCATGTCCATCACTTGAATCTTTTTTTTTTTTTTGGGGGTTCAAATACCTTTATATCTTCAAAGTAGTAACTCCCACAAAAATTACAATCAATGTTAGGCTCGTAGAAATTTTCACCTTTGCACAAAAAAAAAAGAAAAAAGAAAAACTCAGTTCCCATGATAAAGGTGAAAAAATAGGGGGAGAAAAAAGAAAAGCTCCATAAAACATCACAAAATATGCATAACTTATAGCCTTACATTTAACCACCAACAAACTCAAATCAATAACTGAAAGCATAAACTTATCGTCATAAGGTCTCAAACTGATCTAGACCTTGTTATGCCAACACCAAGATAGAGTCCATAAATTATAATTACTTTCTCCTATTTTGGCCTTTCCAATCCTTACAGTCTCTCGCTAGATACTAGTGGAATACAATCTTTTTCTTTCAAAAGGTGTATTTGAGAGTGTCAAACTGCTAATCTCTTAGTGTGCATGTGTAGTAGCAGAGAAGATGAAGAAGGGGGTGTCTGTTGAGGTAAAGAGATGGAGGCAAATTGTGTTGGGAGCTAGTGGAGAGAGTTGATAAAGGCAAAAGAAGATCGATGCTTCAGTATCCCTCTCAATTATATTTTTTTTATTTATTAAATAGGCAGTCGCTAATTTATTTATATTTTACTTTCTTTTTTTTTCATAGTTACTCTTTGTCTGTTTGATATCTCTCAACATGTATTTTTCTTCATTTTCTTAATTTTTTTTGCAGCAAATTTTTTACTCTTAATGTTACTATCTTTCTTTTTCTTTAGCTTTGCTTACTAAGATACTTCATTTCTCCTTTGGACATTTTTTTTATGCCTAAATATTAAGTTCTTTTATAACAATAATCTTGTTTTTGTTTTGAAGGGCAATTTTATCATCTTGTGACATCAGTTAACAGAGTTTATGAACCGTCAATGACAAGGGGGTAAATGTTATTTGGACAAACTACAAGGTTTGTTTGGTAATATGGACAAAGCTCGAGGGAAGTAAGTGCAATTAACCCTTATAATTAAGTCCAAGTGACCTAAAGCAGTCTAGCCGCCACCTCAAACCTTGAAACGTTCACATTTTCTACTACCATCATGGAAGACGACATGGAAATTGAGAGAGAATCCAAGAGAAGAAAATCAACTCCAAAAGAACATCATCAGCCTGGAAATAATCTTTATAGTCTACCTCAAGAAATCGCCCTCGACATAATTTCCAGACTACACGTAAAATCCGTCATCCAATTCAGGTATGTTTGTCGAAGTTGCCACAAGTTGTCACTTGATCAAGATCTTGCTAATTTGCATCTCACCAGAGCATTAAAAAACAACGACATAGCCCTCATCTTTCATTGTGATTTTCCAGTGAACAATCAGCTTTATTTTGTTGAATTTTCTCATCAAGATCATGAAAAAAATGTACTCAGAAGAATTCATACTCCCTTTTCTAGTACTTTGCCTGAATTTCGAATTGTTAGCTCGTGTAATGGCCTGCTATGCTTGTCGAGTACTTTGGTCAATGATGGACCATACGTTTATAATCCCTTTACCCGAGACTATAAAGTGTTACCAAAATCCACTGAATTCCAGGACCAAGAAGTGATAATAGGATTCGGAGTTCATCCTCATACCAATGAATATCGCGTAGTAAGGATAGTCTACTACTGGAATTTATATGAATTATCTCCACTCAGATCGCTGAGATTCAGGGCTCAAAATTTTCCAAGATCAGAGGTTCAAGTATTCTATCAGAGCAGTGAAAAATGGAGAGTTATTATTGGAGACATACCTTACAAGCTAGATCAGTCATCAGGGGGAGTTTTTGTAAACGGAAGGCTTCACTGGGTGAGTATATGGGGAAAGAATCATGCTCGTCGGGAACGGCTCCTGGTGTCATTTGATTTATCTGATGAGCTTTTTAGAGAAGTCCCACTGCCAGAAAATCATCTTTACTTAACCCGACACCGGTATTCTCTCAGTGTTCTCGGAGGTTTTCTGTCTGTTGTTGATCCTTCAAATACTAATTGCGGGGCTCAAGACATTTGGATTATGAAACAATACGGGGTGAAAGAGTCCTGGGAGAAAGTTTTCAGCGTTGGGGTTTATTATGTGACGACATTTCAGTCACCAGAAATGCAGCAAAAATACAGGATTTGGAAGAATGTACTTGATGAACGATTTGCCCGGGTTCTTTGCCTTCTGAAAAATGGCGAAATTTTGCTGCAGTACAGATGGGGAGCCCTAGTTTCTTACAATCCTGAGAGTCGAATGTTTAAGGATCTAAGGTTTAAAGGGATGCCTAAATTCTTCCATACCGTTGTACACGTTGGAAGCCTGAGCCAAGCAAATTAATGGCCTTCTGGTCTCCGGGGATCAAATATAATAGCAGAATTTAAGATATTGACAGTAGGAAGGACCTTTATGATTCGCTTGATTGAAGTGTTCAATTATGTAGTTAATTCATCAAATGGTTTGTCACCAAAGTGGTAAGGTTATTGTTTGGTTGTGATTCTCATCTGGACATCTTCTCCACACCGATATACCTTACACTCCCTCCCTTGGCTATTGTCTGTTGCGATGGTTGTAATTCTCTTCCTAGCTACCAATATAGATACCATAGTTTGAAATGGCATATTTTGATTTTTGTCATAGGTTTTGAAGTAAGATTCTCAATATCTTTTTTGTTGTCGTAAATGGTGATGAATCGACCGGGGTATTGATTGGAATGATCGATACATATTGCTGAATTCAAGATCAGAATCCATTACCGCGTTGAGTTTTGAATATGAGAAATACAAAAGATAAACTGCAATTTTAAATTTGTGTTTGGGGGATGGGGGGAAGGGGGGGGTGTGTGGGGGTTAGGAGAGGGTAGAATACACTAAAAGAAAGTAATTTTAGAGGGTAAAGTAGAAATTTTATGTTGCACCTATACCTCAGTTAACAAGTGTCTTGAGTGGCTTGGACTGATGCTGCACCTATTAAAAGTTCAATCCATATGGCTGTAAATGAGTTTAATGAAATCAAACACCTTGGTGTTCAATTTTGGTTTGTTTATTTTTTGAGTCAAGTTTGAATAGTTTGAATTTTTACCTAGAAAATTCAATTTAAAGTTAATCAAAGTAAGCTCGAATCGAATTTGAAAGTTCATCAAACATGAAATGCTATTTAGTAGGTTTGATTAATTAGCGAATCAAGTTAAAACGAACTCTTACCGAACCAAATTTGATTCGAGTATCAAATGTTTAGTTTGTTTTTCAACCATATTATTGAGTTATCTTTTAGTACTTTGTTGAGTTGACTACGTTGGATTTTTGCCGAGTGAACCCACGTGAACATATCTTGAGACTGTTTTGCAAAGTCTGGAGTCTCCTCTTTAACATCCCCCCCTCTCCCCCCAACACACAAAAAAAAATCATGTTTTTATAAATTCTTAAAAGTGAAACTTATGAATCATTGAATTGATGTGGTATGACTAAATATTATTCATTGAATTGATACTACACTATGACTAAGGCCTTGTTTAATAATCCAATTCATCACTTAAAATTAATGGTTTCAGATTTTAATATGTTCACACGCGTTTCATAACCCAAAATTAAATAATTAAATGACATTGAATTTTTTAGGCAAAATTTACTTCCAAAAATAAGTAATAAACTATTCACTTATCACTCAGAGTGTGTTTGTTTGGACATAAAATGTTTTCCAAATTTTCCTGTGTTTGGTAATCATTTAACTTGGAAAAAAAATTTCTGTGGAGAAAATATTTTACTTCACTTGGTGGAAAACAATTTCGTCTTTTGAGTTATTGAAGTTATTTTTCTCCATTGAAATGCATGGCTCTTTACAATAGAGCTCGCTACTTCCACATTCTAACAAAAACAAAGAAAGAATTTGCGGCTAAAGATACAGAAAGTGAGCGATGGAGATTGGAGAGATTGAAAAATCACCAACAATATAATTATTTCTGACGGCAACCATCTCCAACTCTAGCGAGGTGCCTTGGTGAGATTCTTATTTAGGGTTTTATCTTGAATATCTTTTATTTTTTTTCCCAAAAAAATCTGATAAAATTGGTTTCTCCAGTCTAGGATTCTATCGATATTTTTTTTTATTTTATTGCTACAATTCTTGAGAATTGTGGCACTAGTTTCACGGAGGTATTTGGGTTTTTTCTGAAAAATGCTTCTTTTGTTTTTGATTTTCTTCTTCTATAACCATACAAAGCTCTAGGAATTCTGGCCAAATTCACTGCTCTGGTCCCCTTTTTTGACGGTTCGGCAAAATGGGTTGCGAGTTTAATCTTATTCTTTTAATTATAAGGCCAAAATGAGTAAGTTTAAGCTAAGCACATAGCATGTAATTAACTAATATCTAAACACATAAAAACATGTACAGCACCTTAAGAGTGAAGTAAAACAGAATGATTAATTCCAAAGCTTCCATTGGAATTGGAAAAGCCAAGCCACAACGCACCTGCGGCCCCAATAATAACAAAAAAAAAGGTAATTAAGTGAAAAGAAAAGAAAAGGAATACAAAAATTACATGCACCTATGCCGGTTAAGGGTTACGTTATTCCTAAAAACAGAAAATAAAATTAACTACAACTTGACCAATTGAAATGCTATTTAAACTAATAGTTAACTAGTTCAATTCTAGGGACCTAATCCAAACTACCTAAAGCAAGCTCCAGGGGACAAATTATAAAGTCCTAAAAATTGGGGCTAAGTCACAAAGAAAGGGAAATTTAGGGACCGAAGTTGTAAATCTCCAGAGATACATCATCTTCTTCCTCAATTCAGAATAACTGCTGCTGCTCTGTTTCCTCTCGTCCCGCGAAGTTCGCCGGCTTCCGGTGACAATAACTCCGTGGCTCCTCCCTCTCTTGCACACGAGCATCTCACACGATCACATAGCTAGATCCGCACAGAAAATGCAGCAAAACATAAAAATAAAAATAATTTTAAAAAAAAAAATCAAACGTTCTCTCTCGGCCCTCTTGGTTTTCCGGCATCGTTCGCGATCTCCGATCAACTTTCAATTGACCGGAATTGCTCCCCCACATGCTCAGATTCATCAATTTGTCCATATAACTCAATTTCTCATTTTGGGCCATTATTGGCGCAACAAAACTTTACAAATCTAGGTCTAATTGAGGTGCCGCTTACACAAATAACGAATGTCAGTCCACCTACATCAATCATATCATAGACAACTAGCAAAAGGGAAATTTAAAGGGAAGGGAGATTCATTGATACTGCGAAGAAGCCAAATTCTTGAACATAATATCAAACAGGTGCCAGAAAAATTCAAACAACATATGGAGCAACGAAGTTTCATAGTGCTTTTCCAGTTATGACCCACGGTAGTGGTGGCGGTGGTCGTGGACTCCGTCAATAGCAACAGCAGCGCAGCTCCTTGTTCCTACTCCTCGGACTCCCTTTTTGGGCTTTTCTTTTCTCCGTTTTTTCTTTTTTTTTGGGTGTGTTTCTTTTTCTGGTTCTTGCTTCCTACTTTAATGGATTTAAAACTCTAGAAGATTTTGAAGGACCTGCGCAAAGCAAACTACTGGCCTCTTGGTCTCCAGGCATCACCTGACATAGCAGAATTCAACATATTGGCAGTAGAAAGGATAACCACCAGCCTTTGTCACCACCAATGTATTAAGGCTTGGTGGCGTGAGAGGCAAGCCACTGCCAATGTATCAAACTTTGCATCCCATCAATTTGTCACGTTAAAATGATTTTACTTAAAAAATTCTGACGAATGTGTAATGCACTCGTTTGATAGTGATTGAATTCTCTTCAAATTATTCTTGGACATTTTCAAGTCCTCTCCCTAGTGTAAAATAATTTATCGTATCAAAAAAAAAAAAAAACACAGTAGAGAGGACCATAACCACTAAGCCAAAGCACATTGCCCACCAAAAAGGTTTTGGAACAAATCTCTTTGAACTGTCGGTTGAGAATTCAAATCTTACCTGTCTTAAAAAAAAATTAAAGGAAGTGTTGAAGTACCCTTTTAATTTAATCAGATCTGTTATCTCCTTACATAACCTCTTTAGATTCCCCCTTCCTATAAAATAGGATATGATAGATTTGTTTATAGAAATGTTATCTATTATCTCCTTACATAATCTCTTTAGATTCCCCCTTCCTAAAAAATAAGATATGATATATTAGTTTATACAAATATTATCGTTAAAGAGAAAAAAAAAAAAAAAAAAAAAAGAAGAAGACACTACAGAGGACCATTATGATTCGCTTGATTTAAGTACTTAATTATGTAATTAATTCATCCAAATCGTTTTTTAGTAAAGTGCTAAGGCTTTTGCCTTGTCGTGATTCTCAAATCTTGACATCTTCTCCACGGATATATCTTGCACTCCCTCCCCTGGCTACTCTCTCTTGCGATGGTTGTTCCTAGCTGCCAATTTAGATACCAAAGTTTGAAATGACATACGGTTTTTGTCATAGGTTTTGAAGTAAGATTTGAATAATTTTTTGTTGTCCTAAATGGTGATGATGCTACTGGGGCATTGCTTGGAATGATCGATACGTGGTTGATTTCAAGATCAGAATCCATTTCCTCGTTGAGGAGTTACTGAGTATGTGAAATACAAAAGATACATTATTGTAATCTTAAATTTGTGTGGAAGGATTGGAGAGGGTAGAATACGCTAAAATCCCTTTAGTTGTTTGGATTACATAAACGGCATTTGGGTTTGCAATTTATCAATTATCTATATATATTCTAAACATTAGAATAATTGGTGATTTATAAATTCAAATAACTCTTAAATTATTTAAGCAATTAGAGGAATTTGAGAGAATTTTAAAATTTTTATCAAATTTCTCAATCCAAGTACAGCCTAGAAGAAAGCAATTTTAGAGGGTAAAGTAGAAATTTTGTATTGCATCTATTCCTATTATGTGTATGCGTATGTGTGTTAAATAGGTCCAAACACCATGGTGTTCAAATTTAGTTGATTTATTTATCAAGTCAAAGCTCAAATAGCTTGAATTTTTATCTAGAAATTCCAATTTTAAGCTAATCGAAGCAAGTTCGAGCCGAATTTGAAAGTTTACCAAATATAAAATGCTATTCAAATTGGATTTAATTAAGTAGCAAACCAAAGTCGAACAAATTTTTATCGAGTCAAAATTAATTTGAATATTAAGTAATTTAATTCATCTTTCAACTATATGATTAGCATTTAGGTACCTTGTTGAGTTAAAACTATACTAACTTTTTTTCAAGTGGGGTGTGTTTGGATTGCTTGTTTCCGTCGAAAAATATTGTCGTTTTCCGTGATCACATTTCCCTATTACCTTTTTCCCTCACATATATCAAATCGGTATAATAATTTTTCCATGAAAAATGACGGAAAATGCAATCCAAACACACCGTGATCGTATCCTGAGACTAATTGCGAAATGTGGAGTGTCTTCTTAAACCTCAAAAGAAAGAAAAAAAGAAGTCATGTCTTCATAAATTTTTATAAGTGAAACTTATGAATCATTTGAATTGATACAGCGTGTGTGACTAAATATTATTCATTGTTTATTTTTATCCCCTCCCGTTTTTACTGTCCGTTGAGTTTTAGATATGGATTTAAGAATTTACCATTGGCACTTCTATCACTACTTTACGCTCTAAATAATCTGAAATATAAGAATATCTTGAGATTTAGTGACCCTATTTGTTTGGACTGAAAATGCTTTCCGGAAAAAGTTTTCCAGA